AAACAGGTACACGGCACACAGCTGTAAATACAAACAGGTACACAGCACACAGCTGTAAATACAAACAGGTACACGGCACACAGCTGTAAATACAAACAGGTACATAGCACACAGCTGTAAATACAAACAGGTACACAGCACACAGCTGTTAATACAAACAGGTACACAGCACACAGCTGTAAATACAAACAGGTACATGGTACACAGCTATAAATACAAACAGGATATGGTACACAGCTATAAATACAAACAGGTACATAGCACACAATTATAAATACAAACAGGTACATAGCACACAGCTATAAATACAAACAGGTACATAGCACACAGCTTTAAATACAAACAAGTACATAGCACACAGTTATAAATACAAACAGGTACACAGCACACAGCTGTAAATATAAACAGGTACATGACACACAGCTATAAATACAAACAGGTACATAGCACACAGCTGTAAATACAAACAGGTACACAGCACACAGTTATAAAAACAAACAGGTAAACAGCACACAGCTGTAAATACAAACAGGTACATGGTACACAGCTATAAATACAAACAGGTACATAGCACACAGCTGTAAATACATGTACAAACAGGTACATAGCACACAGCTGTAAATACAAACAGGTACATGGTACACAGCTATAAATACATACAGGTACATAACACACAGCTTTTAATACAAACAGTTACACATCAAACAGTTATAAATACAAACAGGTACATAGTACACAGCTTCGAATACAAAAGATACACATATGAACACGAACAAATACCAAACCCATCAAAATGATTTCAAACTTATACTACATACCACTGTATAGGAACATAAAAACAAGTGGATAGTAACAAAGAGGGACATTGAGGCTGTCATAGCAGTGTACTAGAGTTATACCTACATTGAAGGACAGCCAGGTCGTTAACTTGAAGCACCTGATGATCCGTCTACACATGGTCTCTTCATACATCCTTAGTCGTTCTGCTGGGGCTGTAATATATATATCAAAACACATTTAAATATCACTGATGACATCTTCATACTAGTTAAATTATCTTGAAATAAACCGCCATGTTGATAGAAGTGTGTGTATTAGATTTTCACACAGCAAGTCAAAACTTTTTAAGTTGAACAAATGCAGCATATTTATCATTTGAAATATAAAACCTTTTTTTTTCTCCAATTTAAATTGATTTTGACGCTGGACATAAGACTGTTCATGTACAGGCATTTACCTATCACTAGCATTTACAGATGAAATAATATAATTTACATACTGTATACTATTAGATGTACTAATATTGTAGAAATACCCAGTATACTCAGATTTGTACGGACTACAGTCATTATAGAGGGTGTGAAGGTCAAATGTACATCTGTGTTAACTCGCCTTCAAAAACTTGTTCCTCCCCACTGACCGCATCATGCAACAGCGGTTTGTGAACCTCATCTTCCTCCTCCTCTGCCTGGACATTCCCAACTGACCTTGCTGACCCTTGGTCAGATGTTTCTTCTGGAAGTGGTGGTTTAATGATGAAGAAGTAGCTGATCATATACAGAGCTACGAACGGGGTTGTCAACAGGAATGCATATCTAAGTGTAAATCAATCTGTTTAGTTACATGTATATCAATCATTATACATAATGTATAGTTTACTTGGAAAGAAGATCAATTAATAAAAGATTGGCTTCTAACATTTTATAGATAAATAATTACTTTCCTCAGGTTATATCACTTTCAAACTGTCTACAGATACAATGTACATAAAAATAACAAACATCTAATTTTAAGAAACTTTACTTTTTTGGTTATGAATTTAACATCCAAAATTGGTACCAGAATGAAGAGAACATTGGGTTGCTTATAGCCTAAGTCACCATTTAGGTTGAAATAGTTTCAATTTTAAGTAAAAAGATTTTATTAATTGATTTATAACTATGAATTGATAAGTTGATGTAGTAGAGCACTTTCCAGTATCACATATATGTAACTTACTTTGTCAGACTTTTGAGCTGGGCTGTGTTATGTCCACCCGCTCCTACCACACATCCTGTTATGTATCAAAACACACGTGTCTTTGTCAGTTTAATTATAATATCATATAATTATAACAATTATTGGTATTTCTCTTCTTTAAGGAATCCTCAAAATGATGTATATTAAATAGGATTATTGTATTTGTTAACTCTGTAGTTTTTAGTTCACTACAAATATTCTTGATTAAGAATTAGAGACCTGTAAATACCAGCTCCTAGGACCTCGGCCATACCTGAACTAAGACTTACCAAATATGATGTAAATACCAGCGCCAAGGACCCCGGCCATGCCTGTACCACTGGACCAGGCGTTCACTAAAGTACTAGGAAACAGGCGCAGATATCCAAGGGCAACACTGCAAAACATGATCTTTGAATATTGATACTAAAGATCAAAACATCACAGCAGAAATGTTTTTGACATGTGGAGAAAGGACCTTGTTTGTGTGAAATGACCTTGACACTGTGAAATGAATTTGATATTATGAAGTGACCTTGAGAAATGATATTGATACTGTAAGATGACCTTGACACTGTCTGATGACACTGACACTGTGATATGACCTTGACACTGTCTGATGACACTGACACTATGACATGACCTTGGTATGATAACCTTGACACTGTCTGATGACACGGATACTGTGACATGACCTTGGTATGATGACCTTGACACTGTGACATGACCTTGGTATGATGAACAACCTAGAAACTTGGATATTTTAAAGGTAAAATTGAACTTGACACAATAATGTTCAAAATACTGTTAGATTATGACCTTGATCTGTCAAATGGCCTTGATATGTTACATGACCTTCAAACCACAACATGGCATACAATTGTATATATTTTTAGATGACCTTGATAATTTTGAGTTAACCAAACACTGCTAGATGATCTCCATAACCTGCACATTGTGAGGTGACCTTAGTAATGTGACATGACCTTGATGTGGGAAATGATCCATGATATACTCCAAGATTGAATATTTATGCTTTTAGTGTATTCAATGGGATAAGGTGTATGGAGAAGAATCCCTTTACAGAAACCTGTACAATACTGTACACTACAGGTTGTTATGTCAACCTCTCTTACAACATTGAGTTTTGTAGCTCAAGTCCTTTTACAAGTCAATTAATGGAGTAAATCATACAGCTTAGTAAAATTAAATACAATACTAAATGTCCATGATTATCAGATATGTAATAAGAAACTCACTTTTCTCCAAACGCTGCACTAGCTCCAACAAAAACCTGTAGAATAGAGTAAGTAAACCAGTTATTACCACTCATCAACACCCCAACAAACACCTGTAGGATAGAGTAAGTATACCAGTTATTACCACTCATCAACACCCCAACAAACACCTGTAGGATAGAGTAAGTATACCAGTTATTACCCCTCATCAACACCCCAACAAACACCTGTAGGATAGAGTAAGTATACCAGTTATTACCCCTCATCAACACCCCAACAAACACCTGTAGGATAGAGTAAGTATACCAGTTATTACCCCTCATCAACACCCCAACAAACACCTGTAGGATAGAGTAAGTATACCAGTTATTACCCCTCATCAACACCCCAACAAACACCTGTAGGATAGAGTAAGTATACCAGTTATTACCCCTCATCAACACCCCAACAAACACCTGTAGGATAGAGTAAGTATACCAGTTATTACCCCTCATCAACACCCCAACAAACACCTGTAGGATAGAGTAAGTATACCAGTTATTACCACTCATCAACACCCCAACAAACACCTGTAGGATAGAGTAAGTATACCAGTTATTACCCCTCATCAACACCCCAACAAACACCTGTAGGATAGAGTAAGTATACCAGTTATTACCCCTCATCAACACCCCAACAAACACCTGTAGGATAGAGTAAGTATACCAGTTATTACCCCTCATCAACACCCCAACAAACACCTGTAGGATAGAGTAAGTATACCAGTTATTACCACTCATCAACACCCCAACAAACACCTGTAGGATAGAGTAAGTATACCAGTTATTACCACTCATCAACACCCCAACAAACACCTGTAGGATAGAGTAAGTATACCAGTTATTACCACTCATCAACACCCCAACAAACACCTGTAGGATAGAGTAAGTATACCAGTTATTACCACTCATCAACACCCCAACAAACACCTGTAGGATAGAGTAAGTATACCAGTTATTACCACTCATCAACACCCCAACAAACACCTGTAGGATAGAGTAAGTATACCAGTTATTACCACTCATCAACACCCCAACAAACACCTGTAGGATAGAGTAAGTATACCAGTTATTACCACTCATCAACACCCCAACAAACACCTGTAGGATAGAGTAAGTATACCAGTTATTACCACTCATCAACACCCCAACAAACACCTGTAGGATAGAGTAAGTATACCAGTTATTACCACTCATCAACACCCCAACAAACACCTGTAGGATAGAGTAAGTATACCAGTTATTACCACTCATCAACACCCCAACAAACACCTGTAGGATAGAGTAAGTATACCAGTTATTACCACTCATCAACACCCCAACAAACACCTGTAGGATAGAGTAAGTATACCAGTTATTACCACTCATCAACACCCCAACAAACACCTGTAGGATAGAGTAAGTATACCAGTTATTACCACTCATCAACACCCCAACAAACACCTGTAGGATAGAGTAAGTATACCAGTTATTACCACTCATCAACACCCCAACAAACACCTGTAGGATAGAGTAAGTATACCAGTTATTACCACTCATCAACACCCCAACAAACACCTGTAGGATAGAGTAAGTATACCAGTTATTACCACTCATCAACACCCCAACAAACACCTGTAGGATAGAGTAAGTATACCAGTTATTACCACTCATCAACACCCCAACAAACACCTGTAGGATAGAGTAAGTATACCAGTTATTACCCCTCATCAACACCCCAACAAACACCTGTAGGATAGAGTAAGTATACCAGTTATTACCACTCATCAACACCCCAACAAACACCTGTAGGATAGAGTAAGTATACCAGTTATTACCACTCATCAACACCCCAACAAACACCTGTAGGATAGAGTAAGTATACCAGTTATTACCACTCATCAACACCCCAACAAACACCTGTAGGATAGAGTAAGTATACCAGTTATTACCACTCATCAACACCCCAACAAACACCTGTAGGATAGAGTAAGTATACCAGTTATTACCACTCATCAACACCCCAACAAACACCTGTAGGATAGAGTAAGTATACCAGTTATTACCACTCATCAACACCCCAACAAACACCTGTAGGATAGAGTAAGTATACCAGTTATTACCACTCATCAACACCCCAACAAACACCTGTAGGATAGAGTAAGTATACCAGTTATTACCACTCATCAACACCCCAACAAACACCTGTAGGATAGAGTAAGTATACCAGTTATTACCACTCATCAACACCCCAACAAACACCTGTAGGATAGAGTAAGTATACCAGTTATTACCACTCATCAACACCCCAACAAACACCTGTAGGATAGAGTAAGTATACCAGTTATTACCACTCATCAACACCCCAACAAACACCTGTAGGATAGAGTAAGTATACCAGTTATTACCACTCATCAACACCCCAACAAACACCTGTAGGATAGAGTAAGTATACCAGTTATTACCACTCATCAACACCCCAACAAACACCTGTAGGATAGAGTAAGTATACCAGTTATTACCACTCATCAACACCCCAACAAACACCTGTAGGATAGAGTAAGTATACCAGTTATTACCACTCATCAACACCCCAACAAACACCTGTAGGATAGAGTAAGTATACCAGTTATTACCCCTCATCAACACCCCAACAAACACCTGTAGGATAGAGTAAGTATACCAGTTATTACCACTCATCAACACCCCAACAAACACCTGTAGGATAGAGTAAGTATACCAGTTATTACCACTCATCAACACCCCAACAAACACCTGTAGGATAGAGTAAGTATACCAGTTATTACCCCTCATCAACACCCCAACAAACACCTGTAGGATAGAGTAAGTATACCAGTTATTACCCCTCATCAACACCCCAACAAACACCTGTAGGATAGAGTAAGTATACCAGTTATTACCCCTCATCAACACCCCAACAAACACCTGTAGGATAGAGTAAGTATACCAGTTATTACCCCTCATCAACACCCCAACAAACACCTGTAGGATAGAGTAAGTATACCAGTTATTACCCCTCATCAACACCCCAACAAACACCTGTAGGATAGAGTAAGTATACCAGTTATTACCCCTCATCAACACCCCAACAAACACCTGTAGGATAGAGTAAGTATACCAGTTATTACCCCTCATCAACACCCCAACAAACACCTGTAGGATAGAGTAAGTATACCAGTTATTACCACTCATCAACACCCCAACAAACACCTGTAGGATAGAGTAAGTATACCAGTTATTACCCCTCATCAACACCCCAACAAACACCTGTAGGATAGAGTAAGTATACCAGTTATTACCACTCATCAACACCCCAACAAACACCTGTAGGATAGAGTAAGTATACCAGTTATTACCCCTCATCAACACCCCAACAAACACCTGTAGGATAGAGTAAGTATACCAGTTATTACCACTCATCAACACCCCAACAAACACCTGTAGGATAGAGTAAGTATACCAGTTATTACCCCTCATCAACACCCCAACAAACACCTGTAGGATAGAGTAAGTATACCAGTTATTACCACTCATCAACACCCCAACAAACACCTGTAGGATAGAGTAAGTATACCAGTTATTACCCCTCATCAACACCCCAACAAACACCTGTAGGATAGAGTAAGTATACCAGTTATTACCACTCATCAACACCCCAACAAACACCTGTAGGATAGAGTAAGTATACCAGTTATTACCCCTCATCAACACCCCAACAAACACCTGTAGGATAGAGTAAGTATACCAGTTATTACCACTCATCAACACCCCAACAAACACCTGTAGGATAGAGTAAGTATACCAGTTATTACCCCTCATCAACACCCCAACAAACACCTGTAGGATAGAGTAAGTATACCAGTTATTACCACTCATCAACACCCCAACAAACACCTGTAGGATAGAGTAAGTATACCAGTTATTACCCCTCATCAACACCCCAACAAACACCTGTAGGATAGAGTAAGTATACCAGTTATTACCACTCATCAACACCCCAACAAACACCTGTAGGATAGAGTAAGTATACCAGTTATTACCCCTCATCAACACCCCAACAAACACCTGTAGGATAGAGTAAGTATACCAGTTATTACCACTCATCAACACCCCAACAAACACCTGTAGGATAGAGTAAGTATACCAGTTATTACCACTCATCAACATCCCAACAAACACCTGTAGGATAGAGTAAGTATACCAGTTATTACCACTCATCAACACACCAACAAACACCTGTAGGATAGAGTAAGTATACCAGTTATTACCACTCATCAACACCCCAACAAACACATGTAGGATAGAGTATGTATACCAGTTATTACCTCTCAAGTTTACCCCAATAATTGCATTAACTTAAAATAACCACAATACCAACATCCAAACAATCCTCCAACATTTATCGACATACCCATTCCTGGAGAAGATTAAAAAAAAAAATTGCTCTTTGATCTATTTTGGCATTCAAAACGTTTCACCAAATCTAGCTGCTAGTTCAGTTACACATCTTGAAGATAAGTCCAGATATTATATAAGAATTACATTGAACCATTAAAGTATGGTATAGTATTAGGTATCCCACCATTACTCCTTTGGTTATGAGTTTATAATCCCTTCAATCAGCAAACTACTTTAGCGATATGATGTATGTTTTAGGTGACATGAGTGATTTTATATTGTGAAAGGGGACATGAATAGATTTGGGATGTATTTTAGAAATATTCATAAGGGCTTTCAGTTGACCCTTGATATGTACCAATTTCAGAAGTCAAATAGAATTTTTCTCTGAATTTTGGAGAGTCAAAATATATGTCATATAGACATGACCTTTAAAACACCAGAGTCAATGTTCATTTTGAGTGTCAAAAAGATACTCTCAGGGGGCTGATATCAGCCTTAAAATTGTAGAAATGCCCCTGTATGTGTATTGACATTCCCTCAGCTCCAATGGGTCAGCCCCTTTTTGAGCATAGATTTTGATTTTCATCATCTAATGATAATTATAGAAAATGCTGATTAAAATTGAACAGTAAATTTCAGAGGAGATCTCATCTAAAGGTTTTAAACTATCTTACCCTGTATGCCTCTCCCCCTGAGTGGCAGAATCAGCTCTTTTTTTAATATTAATTCTGATCCACATCCTGTATGGATCATGTTATGAGATGTTGGTTAAAATCCACCAGTTACTTTCAGAGGAGATGTCATTTGAAGGTTTTACACTATTGTGACCCTGTACTGCCTCTTCCCCAAGTTGGAGAAGCAGAATCAGCTCCTTCAGTAACTTTCAGAGGAGATGTCATTTGAACATTTTGCACTTAGTGACCCCTTTACGCCCTTGTTGTCCAGTCCCTTCTTTGAGTACAGATTATGATCTGATCATCATGTAAGGCTTGTTGTAAGAAATGTTGATGAAAATAAAACATCACATTTCACAGGACATAGTTCCTGAAGGGTTAACATTCTCTGATATTTCATGGTCCCACCCTCAGCTCAGAGGAGGGGGCAATATCGCCTTCTAAAGTAAAAAAATCTGATCCCAATAGAGGTTGATGATTACCAATAAACCTCATCAAAATCTGACAGAGGTTTTCTGAGGAGAAGACAAATATACAAATGTATGATTGTTAATTATGGGCATTTGACAGATGACACATGCCAAAGGACAAAAAGTTATTACAAAAGGTCACCTGATGGACTCGGATGACATGAAGATATTGGTAGTAACAATACTTACAATACAGATAAGAGCAAACCAAAAGCTGAATGCATAGGCCACACCAAACAGACCTGGAACAAGTACAGTGTTAGTAAACATGTATATATCAAGCCAAACACAGCTTGAACAAGTTTTATTAAACATATATAGGTTTAGTGTGGATTGTAGATCATCTGATGAAGGTGAATATCACATTACAATGTAGCTAGTCATCAAAATGTAACAAATAAACACTTTACTGGTTGTGTTATACAAATTTTTCTATAATACAACTGGAACAAGTCTGAAAACAACTTCACCAAAACACACTCAAAGAAGGTCATGTTTCACCAAAATATAGGCCATGCCACACAGACCTCAAACAAGACAAGGAAGTGGATAAAAAGGAAAGGTCATTGTTAAGGTCATAGCAATGATGCTATATCAGTATTTCATATATTTAAATACAGCTGTACTTCTCATTGTTTTGGTAGTTTTCAACAGGTTGGCCACAGTAAATGTATCAACAAACAGAACGCTTTACCTGATGGCTAATTACAATGTTACAGTTTCATAACATTAAACTGTAATACATTTACTATCAAATTTTTTCATTTTTTTTCTACCCATTTTCTATAAATGATAAATAAGAAACAACCTCCTTACCTATGAGCATGAGGACAGCATTTACGACATAGCGGATCCAGTATCTTGTCTTCAGCAAGAAAAATGTATTGCCAACTGTAAAATATATATTAATAAAGAATGTTAAAGTTTTAACATGAACTAAAATTTTGGAAATCTGGTGACTCCAAAATGTTCAAAATGTTCATCATGGAAAAGATACAAAATTTGACCGTAACCTTTGACACATTGACCTTGACCTTTGGTCATTTGACTCCTTGTTTAATTCTGACCAACATTGCTGCATAATGCCATAACAAAATGTTCATCAGTGAAAAGATACAAAATTTAACCTTCACTGTTGACCCAGTGACCTTGACCTTTGGTCAATTGACTCCTTGTTTAATTCTGAGCAACATTGCTTCAAAGTGTCATACCAAAATGTTCACCAGTGAAAAGATACAAAATTTAACCTTCACCTTTGACCCAATGACCTTGAAATTTGGTCAGGTTGACACCTTGTTTAATTCTGATCAACTTTGCTTCATCATGTCATAACAAAATGTTCACCAGTGAAAAGATACAAAATTTAACCTTGACCTTTGAATCTAATGACCTTAACCTTTGACCTCAACTTTTTACCTCAGTGTGTCTCTTTGTTTAATTCCGAACAACTTTGCATCATAATGTCATAAAATGCTCATTAGTGAAAAGCTACAAAATTTGACCTTGACCCCTGACCCGATGACCTTGACCTTTGGTCAGTTGACTCCTAGTTTAATTCTGAGCATCATTGCTTCAAAGTGTCATACCAAAATGTTCACCAGTGAAAAGATACAAATTTTAACCTTGACCTTTGATCCAATGACCTTGACATTTGGTCAGGTTGACTCCTTGTTTAATTCTGATCAACTTTGCTTCATCATGTCATAACAAAATGTTCATCAGTGAAAAGATGCAAAATTTGACCTTGACATTTGAACCTAATGACCTTGACCTATGACCTTGACTTTTTACCTCAATGTGTATTTTTGTGAACTGAACATCTTGACTAGGTTTCATGTACATCGGTCAATAAATACCAAAGTTATCAGCCAGTAACAAAATTTGTGGACGGACAGACAGACAGACAGAGTGATTACTATAGGGCACCCGTATCTCCGATACGGGGCCCTAATGATGCAATTACAACAACACTTTCTTAGACTTTAGCTGAATGATATATAGAACCAGGGACGTATATACTGTCCCTGATAGAACCCCTTGATTACAATTATATAGATATTTAAAAAATGAAGTTATCTGTAATGACTTAAAGTTAAGGGACAATCTACAAGAAAATGTAAAGAAGAGAGATAAACATCAATACATTAGCAAGCTACAACATAATGTATTGTTACAAATGGACAAGCTATTGTAATAATTGTAGGCATAGTCCACTGTTCAAACCATGGTGAAATTACTGGATAATTTCAGTTGAAGGAAATTAAAATTAAAAGCCATGATACATAGCTACATGTACCCTGATGTTACTCACATTTGACAACAACAGACAGTGCCACATTGGCTCCTACCACCAGACCAACCTGATTCCTTTCATCAAAACTGAAACAAATATCAAATCAATGATGCTTCGGAAACAACACTTTAGACATGTTTATTATACATTTGTTTTTTAATTTCATGTCATGTTTGAGAACTATCTAGGTACTTGTTGCTGACAAGTCTAGAGACAATCACCCTAAAGCTCAATGTGACTAGTAAAATATAATATGTAGTCGTGAGTTCGACTCATACTAGAGGTAATTGGAAAAGCAACATCCAGGTCACAATGATTTGCAATTTGCAGTCAATAATACATAATTACATACAAATATCATGAGAAAGGGAGACAATGATTGTATTCCATATACTACAAAAGGGAGATAATCTTGACATTATTAGATAAGGCAGGTAATCGTCACATCATTAGATAAGGGAGATAATTACCACATTATGAGATAAGGGAGATGGTAAATAAGACATTACAATATATGGAGGTTATCATCATATCATGAGTTAAGGGAGGTAATTATCACATTTTGAAATAAGGGAGGTAATTATAGAGGGAGGTACATGAAAATAATCACAGGATAAGGGAGGTAATTGTGATATTGTGTAATCTTACCTGTCAGCTATGGTTTTGGCTGCCGACACAACTATAACATATGGCAGGTTGTTTATGGCTCCCAAAATAAACAAACCAATCTGTAAACAAGTCAACAAAAACACTTCTACTCTGGATTTGATTTTTATCAACATTTTATTATGATTATCAATTTATGATGACATTTTAATTCTTATCAATAAGGTCATTAGTATAATACAGAAGTACATTGTACTCGTTGGTCTTTCAATAATAATGCAGGTTAAAATGCTGCAATTGAAATCTATGGTAAAACTTGCATTTATATTTGGGATTAAGTAATGTAACTATGCATACAGCAAATTACTTACAACAAGCGTACATGTTTAAATTACAAGTGTGTTATTTCCCAGGTCTAGCAGACATTTTATAAAACTATATTTCTATGTTTATATCAATAGCATGTTTTACCCAATTTCTGGTATAGTTGTCCATGTTGTTAGTCAGAAGAACCCAATGATGGATTACTCGCCTTGTATCCTAAACTGCATCACTGATCCCGAACCTGTAAGAGCACAGACATGACATGACATCATTTTTGGACATTTTTCCCTAATAACTGGATAAACAACATTTCAGGCTCGGATTAAAAATAAATCTTAACTCACATCAGTTAACAGTTTGACTCAAGCCTTGTGTGCACAACATTTTTGGTACGAATATTACCTTCCATGTCTACGGCAATCTAATATTAGATTTAAGACTGATTGTTAGTTACAAGTCGGTCAGCTGTCCAACGTTATCACACTGACACTGTCGCCCACCTGCTAAGTGCGGTGTGCAGTTTGTACTGTTAGTGTTTAGGTACAGCGCGCGATGAATCACGCTTCATAAACTGAACGTGTATATTTATTACGATCGATATTGGTTCACAATCAATAACAAGATACCACTTAAAATGAAACAAAGAACAAAATCAAAATGCCGACATATAAATGAATTTACCTGTGGACAAATTAAAGCTTCGCAAAGGATGACATCAACCAGTTGTAAACATGACCCTTGAACTTGTGAACCGGATATTGGGTATGAAAGAACGATAACTGAAAATCTCAATATTTATTGGGCGCGATAATATGAATTCATGTAAACAAAGTAGCAGAGTTTACACTTTCTGGTCTTTTTATCTGTTTTATTAAGTAAAGCCTTCATCTTTTATAGTTTCGAATATAAGTTTATGCACGTATTTAAAGGGACATCACGTGAAGAGTCATATGCTTTTATTGTGCCAATAACGTCACCTGACGGTTTTGAAACGAGGCAGTAAACACAGGTGGTCTGACCGAGATGCAAAGTTTCCAAAGGGGCCCCCAGAGATCTAGAGGGGCCGTTAGACAACTATAACTTCTTACCGCACTATGAAACCAAGGACTAACTGATGGCATATCTGGAAATGTAATTGGTATACTAACTATATTATTGCCTCTGTTTATAATACAATATACGGGTAGACTACATACCTCACTTCCGAGTATAATTCCAGGGTTGGAGGAGTGCTTTTCGGGGTGAATTTGTTTAGTTATCAGTCGTGAGTTTTCGCCGATACCAGGCGGTGTGTTTGCAAGTTTAGAAGAAATAATGACCCATATAAGAATGTTCTCTGTGGTTTAATCTATTGCTGAAAATGTGAGGAATTGATCCAAAAAGCCCCAAGAACATACACGCCTTTGAAGTAAGGAAAATATTAAAAAAATCACCGATCACCGCCTGCCTTTTAGCAATATCCGGTGTCGTTAACACAGTGTTAGAGACATAGAAGAGTATTTAGATATGGTTTGGAATATGCGTTAGATTCAAAATAAATGCATGTGCTTGTATTCAGAGACGTACATATTACATAACATACTAATGTAATATATACGTCTCTGTTGTATTTCAAAGAAGCTTGGTGAATAAAGGAATAATTTACCTTTCCACCTTGGCTGGAAGGACATTTAATTCACCGACAGCCGCCGCTAAAACGTACAGCTATACAGTTAAAGATTTCTTCATTACTGTTTTAAACGTCAAGAAAACATTGACCCTTGTAAATTTCTTTACATGAATTGTTCATAAGTAGTATCAAACTATTATTGTGAAGACTATTGTATCAAGATTAAAAAAAAAAACACTTAACTAAACTGTCCCTTTAAGGTTTTTGTCAAACCTTTTATTCCTAAAGTAGTCTTGGCATAGCAATAAAAGAATATATACGAAAGTAGGAAGACGGATATATGATTCCTAGGAGAATGAAGACAATGTTATTGTTTGTACAAACTTTGACATTTGCTTTACTTTCAATTGTTCCTCATGCGAACACATGATAAGCATAGTGACGTCATATACTTAATGCATTGTCCTTTTGTTGATGACGTCATGTGACTTCTACCGTAGTAACAATATATCAGACATCATCCTGTTCGCCGATAAGTGATCCTGTACATTCCCACACCGTAGTATCTCGTGAAGTCGACGCGAGGTTGTACCCCAGGCGAAAATGGATGTCCTGCCCTTCCTACTCGTCGAGGAGGCCATCAAGAAAAACAAAGCTTCTGTGAAGTAGGTCACCATTAGCTTATTCTATCACTTGTATCGCTATTCATACATGTAGCTAATATTAAGATTCGTAGGCATCGTTTTGTGCTGCGCTATCTCGAAATAATGAGGTTCTTCTTTGCTCTGTTCTGTCTTGATGCCCTTGAGTTCTTTTGTCACTTGCTGTGTAGAATACTTCTACTTCTACCATTTTATTACCTACTTCCGCATAGTGAAGATCATGTCATATAAAGGTGTAGCGCTATGAAAGAAAAGGAACAGGACTTAATATTGATGAACAGAGATATATGATTTGAAGGGCAGTAGTGAATCAGAAGAAATAATTTGAGAAGAGAGTTTGTTCCAATCTTTGATAGTCCGAGGAAAGAATGATTCCTTCCTTACAGACGTCCTGCATGAGATAGTTTGAAATGAGGTTCGATGACTATGCCTTGTTTGTCTGGTTATAGGGGTGAGCTGTTTAGTAATAATGGCAACTTTATTATGGTGGATTTTATAGAACATGGACAGCCTCGCGTCTTTCCTGCGATCTGAAAGACTACGCCATTTTAGGTGTTCTAACATGTTGCCAACGCTGGAGGTGTTACAATAGCGGTTGGCAACGAAGCCGGCAGTCCTGCGCTGTACCATCTCTAGCTTGTCTATTTTTAAGTAAGGGTCCCATACTGGCTAGCGTATTCAACCTGAGGGCGGTCCAGGGACTTATAGGCCATTTGTTTGATGTTAGAGGATGACATTTTGAGATTGCGCCTCAGGAAACCCAGAGTTGAATTGGCCTTTTTTGTGATGTTATTGATATGAGTACTCCACTTCAGATCAGAAGAATTGAATAGAATTGATGAATACTGCTGGATGATGTTGGCTTTTACAACATTTTGTAAATGTTTGTTTCCATCGACGATGTTGTAACGATTCCCACTGCAGTCTTGGGTGAGGCCTGGTTCCGTGCACACGCCTAAAAAAAAACCAAAACAATCTTTTAAAACAGTTTAACTGGCGATGTCTCGATTGCTCTCGCAGCAGGACAATTGAGATGATGGATATAAAACAATTCAATTCAAGTCAAATTTATTTGGTAAAAAGGTACAACTTAACAATTTCATACAGTACCCAATACATTTTTTGGCACTAATAATTTATATAACTGGTTACATTATAAAACATATGAATGTAAAATTATATACGTCTCTAAAAAAAGTTATCACAATTTTATAAATTACCAGATAGGTAATGGCTATTCCTACGAAAAATAAAATAACTAAAATATATGTCGCCCTTAAAACCAGGAATACCCAGAAAGCCCTGAAGCTTATTTCCACTGGGGTCCATTAAAAGACACATACACACTACTTAAGTAAAAAATACTATAGTTATTATATTTGAAGATAACTCAATTTTTATGTTGAAACTGATGTTAAGGATCCCCGTCCCTCCACCTAAAAACGTAATGAGGCATTTTTTTTTTGGTCTACAGCATCTCTATTGCATAAGCAAATTATTTCTGAACAATAACCCATACCTTGCGAGATTTTCTTCAGATTTTTTGGGAAATCATGAAATTTCGATTTTTTTCCAATTGAACAAAATGAAACAAAATATATATTATTCGATGCAAAAATGGTTTATTACAAATATAACACATAAAATCCTTAATATATAGGTTATAACTTAAAACACGTTGCATTGAAGTACAGCACCCATATTGTGAACACACTCACACACACATACACAAAACTATATATAAAACATATTACGTCAATAAAATACAAATACCTGATCCTGTTCTCTATTCAGTTTTTCAAAAAGATGTTTTTTGATCGCAACTTTGAATGATCTTTCTGGTAAAGAATTCCAATCTTTAGCAGCATTGCAATAAAACATGGTAGATTCTGCCCCACTCACAATTTGGAATATAAAAATTGTATTCACTAGATTTTGTATAGTGTTGCTGCAGTTCTGTTAGGCTTTTGAAGTCAGTTTTTAAATAGGAGAGGCATTTGTCATTAAAGATATTAAAAGCATGGTTTACTCTGACTTGTTTTACTCTGTTACTAACATTAATCATATTTAGACTAGATAATTCATTGTAACCAATTATTGACCTGGAATCTAATTTAAGAAAAAATCTAATAACTTTATTTCGTGAAATCTGCAGTCTTTGTTTTAGTTTTTTTAGTTAAACCAGAGTACCAGGATGAGCAAGAGTAATCAAATTGACATTGTATTATGGCTGAGCATAAGATTTTCCTGGTGGACAGTGGAAGAGAACTTGTTTGCCTATATAGAAATTTAAGTCTACTACTAGTTGAAGAGAACTTGTCTGCCTATATAGAAATTTAAGTCTACTACTTGTGGAAGAGAACTTGTCTGCCTATATAGAAATTTAAGTCTACTACTAGTGGAAGAGAACTTGTTTGCCTATATAGAAATTTAAGTCTACTACTTACTTTTTTACAATGCTGTTGACTATACATTCACCAGATAAAAAAGCAATCAATGGACAAACCAAGATAGTTGACGAAGGCTGCATCAGAATAGCATGACCATTACAAATAATTTTAAACTGTTCAACATTTTTTAGCTTTCTCTTAGTTCCAAAGAGGATGCATTCCCTAGATGTATAATGGCAGTTTATTATCAACTAGCCAATCTGAGCATGATTCTAGAACCTGGCCCAATTTGGTTGATATACATTTTGGGTCAGAGTGAGAAAAAGGAATTGTACTGTCATCAGCATAAAAAATAGGTTTGCAAGCAGGATCTATACTGATTAGCATGTCATTACAGTATTTCAACACGTATGTTGTTTAATGTTCCTTCCTGTTTAAAATGTACGTACTGTTTTGGAGTGGTTGATGTTGTATGTAAAGTTTTGGAGTGGTATATCTGTATGTTTTACATCCAGTTGTGGAGTGGTATATCTGTATGTTTTACATCCAGTTGTGGAGTAGTATATCTGTCTGCTAAGCATGTAGTTGAAAATTGGTATACCTGCCTGTATAATACACAGTTGTGGAGTGGTAAATCTGTCTGTATAATACACAGTTGTGGAGTGGTAAATCTGTCTGTATAATGTACAGTTGTGGAGTGGTATACCTGTCTGTATAATACACAGTTGTGGAGTGGTAAATCTGTCTGTATAATACACAGTTGTGGAGTGGTAAATATGTCTGTATAATACACAGTTGTGGAGTGGTACACCTGTCTGTATAATACACAGTTGTGGAGTGGTATACCTGTCTGTATAATACACAGTTGTGGAGTGGTAAATTTGTCTGTATAATGTACAGTTGTGGAGTGGTAAATCTGTCTGTATAATGTACAGTTGTGGAGTGGTAAATCTGTCTGTATAATGTACAGTTGTGGAGTGGTATACCTGTCTGTATAATACACAGTTGTGGAGTGGTAAATCTGTCTGTATAATACACAGTTGTGGAGTGGTAAATATGTCTGTATAATACACAGTTGTGGAGTGGTACACCTGTCTGTATAATACACAGTTGTGGAGTGGTATACCTGTCTGTATAATACACAGTTGTGGAGTGGTAAATTTGTCTGTATAATGTACAGTTGTGGAGTGGTAAATCTGTCTGTATAATGTACAGTTGTGGAGTGGTAAATCTGTCTGTATAATGTACAGTTGTGGAGTGGTATACCTGTCTGTATAATACACAGTTGTGGAGTGGTAAATCTGTCTGTATAATACACAGTTGTGGAGTGGTAAATCTGTCTGTATAATGTACAGTTGTGGAGTGGTAAATCTGTCTGTATAATGTACAGTTGTGGAGTGGTATACCTGTCTGTATAATACACAGTTGTGGAGTGGTAAATCTGTCTGTATAATACACAGTTGTGGAGTGGTAAATATGTCTGTATAATACACAGTTGTGGAGTGGTACACCTGTCTGTATAATACACAGTTGTGGAGTGGTATACCTGTCTGTATAATACACAGTTGTGGAGTGGTAAATTTGTCTGTATAATGTACAGTTGTGGAGTGGTAAATCTGTCTGTATAATGTACAGTTGTGGAGTGGTAAATCTGTCTGTATAATGTACAGTTGTGGAGTGGTATACCTGTCTGTATAATACACAGTTGTGGAGTGGTAAATCTGTCTGTATAATACACAGTTGTGGAGTGGTAAATATGTCTGTATAATACACAGTTGTGGAGTGGTACACCTGTCTGTATAATACACAGTTGTGGAGTGGTATACCTGTCTGTATAATACACAGTTGTGGAGTGGTAAATTTGTCTGTATAATGTACAGTTGTGGAGTGGTAAATCTGTCTGTATAATGTACAGTTGTGGAGTGGTAAATCTGTCTGTATAATGTACAGTTGTGGAGTGGTATACCTGTCTGTATAATACACAGTTGTGGAGTGGTAAATCTGTCTGTATAATACACAGTTGTGGAGTGGTAAATATGTCTGTATAATACACAGTTGTGGAGTGGTACACCTGTCTGTATAATACACAGTTGTGGAGTGGTATACCTGTCTGTATAATACACAGTTGTGGAGTGGTAAATTTGTCTGTATAATGTACAGTTGTGGAGTGGTAAATCTGTCTGTATAATGTACAGTTGTGGAGTGGTAAATCTGTCTGTATAATGTACAGTTGTGGAGTGGTATACCTGTCTGTATAATACACAGTTGTGGAGTGGTAAATCTGTCTGTATAATACACAGTTGTGGAGTGGTAAATATGTCTGTATAATACACAGTTGTGGAGTGGTACACCTGTCTGTATAATACACAGTTGTGGAGTGGTATACCTGTCTGTATAATACACAGTTGTGGAGTGGTAAATTTGTCTGTATAATGTACAGTTGTGGAGTGGTAAATCTGTCTGTATAATGTACAGTTGTGGAGTGGTAAATCTGTCTGTATAATGTACAGTTGTGGAGTGGTATACCTGTCTGTATAATACACAGTTGTGGAGTGGTAAATCTGTCTGTATAATACACAGTTGTGGAGTGGTAAATATGTCTGTATAATACACAGTTGTGGAGTGGTACACCTGTCTGTATAATACACAGTTGTGGAGTGGTATACCTGTCTGTATAATACACAGTTGTGGAGTGGTAAATTTGTCTGTATAATGTACAGTTGTGGAGTGGTAAATCTGTCTGTATAATGTACAGTTGTGGAGTGGTAAATCTGTCTGTATAATGTACAGTTGTGGAGTGGTATACCTGTCTGTATAATACACAGTTGTGGAGTGGTAAATCTGTCTGTATAATACACAGTTGTGGAGTGGTAAATATGTCTGTATAATACACAGTTGTGGAGTGGTACACCTGTCTGTATAATACACAGTTGTGGAGTGGTATACCTGTCTGTATAATACACAGTTGTGGAGTGGTAAATTTGTCTGTATAATGTACAGTTGTGGAGTGGTAAATCTGTCTGTATAATGTACAGTTGTGGAGTGGTAAATCTGTCTGTATAATGTACAGTTGTGGAGTGGTATACCTGTCTGTATAATACACAGTTGTGGAGTGGTAAATCTGTCTGTATAATACACAGTTGTGGAGTGGTAAATATGTCTGTATAATACACAGTTGTGGAGTGGTACACCTGTCTGTATAATACACAGTTGTGGAGTGGTATACCTGTCTGTATAATACACAGTTGTGGAGTGGTAAATTTGTCTGTATAATGTACAGTTGTGGAGTGGTAAATCTGTCTGTATAATGTACAGTTGTGGAGTGGTAAATCTGTCTGTATAATGTACAGTTGTGGAGTGGTATACCTGTCTGTATAATACACAGTTGTGGAGTGGTAAATCTGTCTGTATAATACACAGTTGTGGAGTGGTAAATATGTCTGTATAATACACAGTTGTGGAGTGGTACACCTGTCTGTATAATACACAGTTGTGGAGTGGTATACCTGTCTGTATAATACACAGTTGTGGAGTGGTAAATTTGTCTGTATAATGTACAGTTGTGGAGTGGTAAATCTGTCTGTATAATGTACAGTTGTGGAGTGGTAAATCTGTCTGTATAATGTACAGTTGTGGAGTGGTATACCTGTCTGTATAATACACAGTTGTGGAGTGGTAAATCTGTCTGTATAATACACAGTTGTGGAGTGGTAAATATGTCTGTATAATACACAGTTGTGGAGTGGTACACCTGTCTGTATAATACACAGTTGTGGAGTGGTATACCTGTCTGTATAATACACAGTTGTGGAGTGGTAAATTTGTCTGTATAATGTACAGTTGTGGAGTGGTAAATCTGTCTGTATAATGTACAGTTGTGAAGTGGTATACTTGTCTGTATAATACACAGTTTTGGAGTGGTATATCTGTCTGCTAAGCATGTAGTTGCAGATTGGTAAATCTGTCTGTATAATACACAGTTGTGGAGTGGTGGGGGTGGCATACCTGTCTGTATAATACACAGTTGTGGAGTGGTATATCATTCTGTATAATGTACAGTTGTGGAGTGGTATACTTGTCTGTATAATACACAGTTGCGGAGTGCTATAGTTGTCTGTATAATGTACAGTTGTCGAGTGGTTTACCTGTCTGTATAATGTACAATTGTTGTGGAGTGGTATACCTGTCTGGTTAATGTTCAATTGTAGAGTGATATATTTGTTTGTATTACCTGTCTGTCTAATGTACAAATGTGGAGTGGTATACTTGTCTATTATATTTACAGTTATTGGGGGTAAATAAATTTTCATTTCTGAATTTTTAAGCTCTTATCATCGCCAAATTACAGGTAATTGATGACCCAGCCTGGATCAAATTAATGTAGATATGAGAGGTAATATTTGTATGCTGGTTGATTTTCAGGTTACAGGAATATGTTGCCCTGATGGTATGGGAGCGAGCACGTGTGGAGCAGACCTACATCAAGAACCTCAATGGGTGGGCGGACAAAATAGTAAAGGAGGGCAAAGGTACGTTCTCAAAATTAACCTGCTTAGGTATTCCAGGCTTGTCATTTTTTTCCGTTTGTACAGAGCAATGTTACAAAAAGATTTAGGGATTTAAAGTGTGTTCAACTTAGTGTTCTTGTCCGACTTTCAAGGTCACAAAGGTCAAATGTGTTTTAATCTTGTATCATGTTCGTTTGAATAACTTAATATATACTGATAGTTTGCCTATAGGTATATTTTAGTCCACTTTTAAGGTTACAAGAGTGTGATATTAATACAAGGTGAGCGATGCAGTCACATTGCGCCTCTTGTTTCTTAAATATTGGCATAACCTGAGCATATTTGAGACTGGAAAAGTATATTTTTGTATGAAAAAATACATGATCTGCAAAAACTGTACGGACAGGAGGAATGGCGCTTGACTTCATAACACTGATAGAGATACATAAATACATTGTACCATCAATGATTTGTATGTGAAGCATGTATGGTACTGATGAATAGTTACAATTACCACAGAGTGCGTAGGATGTGTTCAGAAGTTTTGCACAATTTTGATAATTATAAAAAGTATTTGATGGACAAAATGTAAAGTACACAGTAAATAATACAGCAACACAATGTTTCGCGTGTTCCCTCGGCAACAGATTTCCGGGACAATGAGGTGTTCCAGATGATAGCCGACATTTTGCCCGGAGAGGCTGAACTGACCGCCGCTGCCCATCAGCGCGTGTACAACCAAATCTTAGAGGACAGTGGGCCTTACAACATCCTATATAGGTATAGTCCCTATAAACAACTCTATTTATCAAAGAAAACTATATCAAATATTTAAATTGATGTTGTTAAAACGAACCTTGTAGGACGTTGTTTTTGTTTTGTTTTTCGTTTTTGTCTTTTGTTTGTATGTTTGTTTACTAATTTAAACTTCTTTATTTTTTGTTTAATTTAATTTTTGTTCTGCTTTTGTTATCGCTGTAATGGGTACTTACATTTCTTGTACAGTCTGACAATCTTTACTACTTTTTCCCTAGTTCATATAAATGTAGTGAACTCTACCGACGTGATGATACATGTACGTATTTACACTGACAGGGACATGGGATTGACGGAAGGAATCTTCCATCGGAACTGCCGAGGGGTCGCGGGTATCGAGGAAGACTTCGTCAAGGACAACAGGAATAGGGTTAATTTGGAGTCGGTGCATTCCCATAGGAAGAAGGTATCGATAGTTACTGCTATATTTGTTCTCGTTCAACTTGTGCCAAAAACACAGCGGACGGATGCTGGCAATGGGACTTCGGATATACTGTAAATAAAGTGATTGCTATTCAGTTGCTCACCACGGGTTCAGCGATTAGATCGCTTCAAAACGAGTCCTACTGTAAAGTTTTCTTGTGTTTTCATACTAATTTTATAACGTAAAAAGCTACCCAAGGAGTGCAAAAATTGGGACTCCATCTAGAATCCATAAAATATACAATAGTATTGTTTCCATTTCTACAGTGTCACATCCAAAATCAATATAGAAAAAAAAATCGATTTCACGCGTAAATAATAATCATTCGCAAACAACACATTACAGGCAATGCAGGATTGTAAGGTAAAATTGGACCTGCTCGAGTCACAGATGACCTCCAGAAGTCGTCTGGCCACTAGACGGTCATCGAAGGGGCGCCGAGTGGACAGTCTGATGAACAAGATGATAGACCAGAAGCGCAAGCATGACTTGGAAGAGGAGGGGTCAGAGGTAGCAGAACGGGAACTCGAGTCACTTTGTCAAGGCAAAAAAATGGTATGTTTAGAATAAATTTAAATCCATATTGAATACACACCACCATGAAATGTTCGCCGACATGCATAACTGGGATGACATAATACACGAAGATGTTTGGCGCGGCAAGTTCTTCCCCAAAATCGAGGGGGTGGAGGGGACACTTTTCTTTCTTTGTAACTTCTGATTTTAATGTTGCAGTTGTGTGTTTTACTTTAAATGCCTTGATTCCGTTCTATCATGTTGACGGCCATGTGTTCCCCTTTAAAGGACCAAGATGTGATCATTTTCAATATTTTCTACACCAACGAATCTGTATAATTTGTTTGCTTAAGTGGTGTTCAGTAATGTCATAATCTAAAGGTTAGAGTAGTCGGAGTTACCTCCCCTACTACGTAGTGTGCCATTAATCATAAAATTCAAATTCGCGTTGTAAAGTTGACACATTATTATTATTGTTTTCTGTATCTGCCATATTGACAAGACTTGATTTACCTTAGGTGGCACCTCATTTTATTTTCGGTTTTTCCATGTTTTTGTTGCAGACACTTCTAGAAATGTTGAAGGATTTAAATGTGTTGGAAAAAGATAGAGTTCGGCTAATGTTTGCACAGCTTATAGAATTCATGACCAGACTTCGTCATATCGAGATGCCGGAAGAGAGGTAACCACATACAAAAACATTTAAATATTTGATCATGACTTTACAAAATTAATGCGGAGTTCCTATTAATTATGCAAACTTTATTGTAAACATATTGCATATCCTTATGATTTAAATTAAATGAGTCTTGAAATATGCCATTTCTTTAAAACAAAATCTTCTTCAACTGCGTCCCGTTCAGCGTTTGGGTAATGGTTACAACTGGTTATCCTGTTGTCGGTATTATGTGACCGGGCGGAGTGGTAGCTGGTGTCTTCGGCATGGTATTTCAGTGAGAACTGTATCAGATCCGCGCTATCACACCAATATACCCTCTCCGACACACATACACACATGCACGCTTACACAGCACACATTGAGGCACGTTATTCAATGACCTTAGCTGTTAATAGGAGGCTAAACACAGTGGCGGATCCAGAGGTTTTTTTGGGCTTCAGGAAACCCCCCCACCCTAAATTTTTTCTTTAAAAATCATGTATTTTCACCATTTTCCTCAATTTTTCCCCACGTGGAAACCCCCCCAGGAAATTTGGAACCCCCCTCCCCCCCAAATAAGTCTCTGGATCCGCCACTGAAACAATATAAAACCAAACTATTTGAGTTACAGCGCCACTAGACGGCGCGCGATGGATGACATGCTGAAGGCGCTGTCTAACGTGGATGCGCTCAGTGTGGCCGACGCCGCCTGGCAGAAGATGGAGCGAGCTGCAAAGGCCCGCAAAGTTGGGACCGTCTTTTCCCTACAGGTCAGTTCAGTAAAAGAGTTCAAAATAGAATGACAGTGTATCTTTAGAAGAGAGATTTTCCCCTGGTACTTTAGCTTTTCATTTTCGAATTACACCCTGTAGATCCATTGTTTAGAAAAAATAAATGTTCGGCTATATTATGACCCAAAAAGGACGTCTTGCAGGTACAAAATGACATGCAGACACATTTTCTGATGGGCATTTACAATTTAATGAGCATTTATCCTTAACTTTTTTATGACGTCATAATAGACTTAATGACCTCACAACAAACTTTATGACGTCACAATGCGAAAATTCGTCGGCATTGGAAACGAAGACTCATATGTTAGAAAGAGGTGTTATTTTTGTATTCTCACAGGCCTTGTTGACGTGCTGAGACAATGTAAACGGTTTATCAATGAGTAGGACATGCTACATCGAAATGTTGATGTTTAATCTACTAATACACACATGAAGCATGCGAATGAAAATTACCGTACCTTTTTGTCCTGTGTTTTACCAGGATCTGATAACCCCGAGTGCGATTCCTGGCAATGTTCGGCCATCAATGGCCCCGTCTCTCGTGCGGACGTCACCCTCCGGGACCCCTGGTATTGTCTTGCCCCCCGCCGGTGGAACACCAATTCCTCCTAGTGATGCTAGAGAACGGAAGAGGTAGGGATGCTTATTTTGTTTCCTAGGGGTACATCTAAAGTCAAATGATGATTCCTGGACGGTCCCTAATTGTTTGACGAAATGATAATATTGGTGGAAAATAACATCGGAATTCGGATAATTGTCCAGCTGCATGTCTTTTCGAATATCATTGGTAAAATAAATCTACCAAATTTATTTTTTGAGAAGTTAATTATTAACAATGCCCATCATCACAAATATCGCATGATATTTCAACATTTCTCCTTTTCAAATCCTGCTAACATTCACCCTTCAGCAGCAGGCCATTTGGCGGAAGGATTCGCCCTCGAGATCGCGATACACGGAGAAATCCCCCCAGGAGCAACAAAAGTCCAGTAACATTCACAAGTGTGCACGTGTTTGAGCCACCGACCAGTTCGTCGTCAGAAGAGTCAGTGACCAGGGTGATGGAACTGGCAAAGCGGCATCAGCATCGTCAAGAGGAGGAACCAGAACGTGTGATTCTGTTTACCAGGCCTGATATCTCGGACACTTCGGGTTGGTATTATTATCTATGGCTCGAGGGGAATAGGGGGGATTGCCTTCCTGTTTATATATTATGTTCGTAAAGGCGACTTAACTGAGAAAAACGTCACGTGTAATCCATGATGCTCCGTAAGACACATATATATCTAGTTTTTTAACTTTGTGCCTGATGGCACATGTATATCAAATGATCCAACTATGCACCTGGATGCTCACATATATCTAGCGCCCCATATATGCGGCTGATGGCAAACTTATATCTCGTGTTCCAACAACGCTCCTAATAGCACACCTACACGCCATTTCCCTACTTTGCTAAAGATGACAAACATACATGTTCGGCTGATGACACCTAGGTATCTGTTCGGCTGATATCACACAGGTATCTGTTCGGCTGATACCACACAGGTAACTGTTCGGCTGATGACACCCAGGTATCTGTTCGGCTGATATCACACAGGTATCTGTTCAGCTGATATCACACAGGTATCTGTTCGGCTGATGACAAACATGCCAATATCACATTCGTAGCTGCACAAGCTTGCTTTTGTTACTTTATATACTCTTATGTAAGCATGCCTTTAGATGATAATACTCCATTCGTTGCCTTGATAGTAAGAGGTTCTTGAAACCACCTGTTTATAATAATATATGTCCGTTTTAATAATATATGTCCGTTTATAATAATATATGTCCAACCTGGCCTATAACTATAAACCACCTGTCTATAATAATATTATACAGTTATAGAATGGATATGAGGGAAATAGCAAAGTTATGGTCCTCCGAGGTGAAAATCTATTTCCAGAGTCGGCAAAGCCGCCGAGGGAAATATTGGTTTTTTTTACCAGGGGTAACCATAAATTTGGTATTTCCCGAATTACCCATTTTTTAACTGTTTTATTATAACGAAAATATTAACAAATGAAATTATAATTCATCATGATTCAAAGAGAGAAAAAATATTACAATTTGACTCAAGTGCTGTATGCATCGTCGTTGATGATATCTTCATTTCTAGCATTCAATAAGTGTTTTGTAGACCGTATCTAATGGTCACCATTGCTTTCCTAATATATTTAGTCCCAGCCACTGATTTAAGTTCTTTCTGCGTGGATTTAATGTGTCCCCTAGTGTGTTTTGTTTAAATTGACTTGTTGTTTCGTACTTAGTGAGATCAGACGACATAGAGACGATCTACCTGCCCGAAGAAGACATCCCGGCCTACCGACCACCCGCTCCATTCCCTCCCCGTCCATTTTGTCCTAGTCTGTCTGATGACGACGAGGACAGAGACGACGATTTTGTTGACGAACCTATCATTGAGGCCCATGCCGCCACCAGGTTTGGATTTGGTATGTACATGTATATGAAGAGCAGCAGATTATGTTAATATTTTAATAATTCAATATAAAGATTGCTAATAAGCGTTAAAAAGTTGAATAGATATATGTGAATTATTCAGTAAAGTACCACATAGTTGTGGGAATCGACAAGATATGTTTCTTAATTACCTGACAAGTTTTCATAATGATTAGTTCAATAAAACACAACAGCGAAACAACACATGCTTTCGAGGTATGATTAAAAATGAGTTATTTCCGTAGATGCCAGCAATGTCCGGTTGTATGCTAAACCCTTAGACAGTGAGCCAGAGGAGGAGGAGGAGGAGAAGGAAGGGGACAGCGATAATATTGCTTTGATGCGTGGAGTCCGAGTGATAGCCCTCCATCCGTACAGCGCGCGCACGACGGATCAACTATCCTTCAAACAAAGTGAGACTCCCTTTCTAGAACACATCTCACCTTTGTCACCCATTTCAACCGTGAAATATATTTATACAATAGTAGCCTTAATGATCTGACAACATCGCTGACCTAATGTATGTAAGGAGGCTCTTGGTCATTCTTCTAGAGGTTCAAAATAAGGGAAATATGACCGGGAAACTCGAGCGCGTAAGGTCATCATGATGTTTTATTTCCCTGTGATGTGATTAATTTATTCCAATCAGACACGGTGTTATATAGATGGGGTATAATAATAAACACCACTGACCTGACATAAACCAATCACCTAATCCATGCTAAACGCTAGTGAATGGATATGAGGCATTCCTGTTAGAAACAGGGATGAGCAAGTGGTTATGTCAGATGTGTGGGAGATGTTGCTTAAGTAAGGGGAATTCCCCAACACGACCGGAAGTTCCGCGTAATGATGGAGTGTTTTACTCTTGAGGATAACTTGTAAACACTTAAAAACGTGAGGATAAACAAACTTAGTCCGATTTCGTCAATCGATGGCAAAGTAATCAGCACTCAATTCAACAGAAAACCCCTTTGTTTAGAAATAAGCTAACATTTGTCGACTGTTAACCTTCCGTTAGTCAGCTATACATGTTAGTAAGCTATTAATCCTAGGTTGTATCGTGAAGTGGATACATACATCTCAGTGACCTGATAAGCTTTAATTTATTGGCAATACGACGTACTGATACATATATATATATATTTGGTGGCATGATATTGCATTGAAATACATGTATTTTGCTGTAATATGTAAAGTTTAAGGCATGAAATTGCATCATAAAGTTATTGGCTTGACATGGCAGTATTATGTAAGTGGCTTGACATGGCAGTATAACGTAAGTGGCTTGACATGGCAGTATAATATAAGTGGCATGTTCGTGATAAGCTAAATTAGTGACATAACATTACTATAATATGTAAAATTGCTAAGTGGCATGACGTTGGTGTTATGTTACAACATAATGAAAGACAATGCAATGGTTTGGTGTAATCTGTAAAGTCAATAGCATGACATTGCTGTTATATATAAAGTTAGTGATATGACATTGCAGCAGATACATAAAGCTAATGGCTTGACTTTGCTGAAAAATAGTGATGTGACATTGCAACATAATATCAACGGCAAATTCTTATATGCTAAGTTAGTGAAATTATATTGCTATGCTATAATACATAAAATTATTGACGTGACATTGCTGTAATTTGTAAAATTTCTGACATTGCTGTAATGCATACCGTTATTGACGTCAAATTGCTGTAATTTGTAAAATTCCTGACATTGTTGTAATATATAGTTATTTTCGTGACATTGCTGTAGTTTGTAAAATTACTGACATTGCTGTAATAGATACAATTATTGACGTAACATTGCTGTAATTTGTAAAATTGCTGACATTACTGTAATACTTACAGGTATTGACGTAACATTGCTGTAGTTTGTAAAATTGCTGACAAGAAATTGAAGCATGAAGTTATTGGCATGAAATGTCAGTCAACAAAAATAGTGACATGAAATTAAATATAATTACAGCATAGTGCTAGTGGTCTGACATTTTAGCTGAAATGTATGGACATGATATCGCAGCAAACACAAAGTAACACAAAGTTATGAACATGACATTGAAATTCAAAGTTAGGGGCATGACATTGAAATTCAAAGTTAGGGGCATGACATTGAAATACAAAGTTAGGGACATGACATTGTAACACAAAGTTAGGGATATGACATTGTAACACAAAGTTAGGGCATGACATTGTAACACAAAGTTAGGGATATGACATTGTAGCACAACGTTAAGGACATGCCATTGTAACACAAAATAAGGGACATGACATTGAAATTCAAAGCTAGGGGCATGACATTGAAATTCAAAGTTAGGGGCATGACATTGAAATTCAAAGTTAGGGGCATGACATTGTAACACAAGGTTATGGATATGACATTGTAACACAAAGTTAGGGGCATGACATTGTAACACAAGGTTATGGATATGACATTGTAACACAAAGTTAGGGATATGACATTGTAACACAAAGTTAGGGCATGACATTGTAACACAAAGTTAGGGATATGACATTGTAGCACAACGTTAAGGACATGCCATTGTAACACAAAATAAGGGACATGACATTGAAATTCAAAGTTAGGGGCATGACATTGTAACACAAAGTTAGGGGCATGACATTGTAACACAAAGTTAGGGGCATGACATTGTAACACAAAGTTAGGGGCATGACATTGTAACACAAAGTTAGGGGCATGACATTGTAACACAAAGTTAGGGGCATGACATTGTAACACAAAGTTAGGGGCATGACATTGTAACACAAAGTTAGGGGCATGACATTGTAACACAAAGTTAGGGGCATGACATTGTAACACAAAGTTAGGGGCATGACATTGTAACACAAAGTTAGGGGCATGACATTGTAACACAAAGTTAGGGACATGACATTGTAACACAAAGTTAGGGGCATGACATTGTAACACAAAGTTAGGGATATGACATTGTAACACAAAGTTAGGGGCATGACATTGTAACACAAAGTTAGGAGCATGACATTGTAACACAAAGTTAGGGACATGACATTGAAATTCAAAGTTAGGGACATGACATTGTAACACAAAGCTATGGAAATGCCATTGTATCACAAAGTTAGGGACATGACATTGTAACACAAAGTAAGGGACATGACATTGAAATTCAAAGTTAGGGACATGACATTGAAATTCAAAGTTATGGGCATGACATTGTAACACATAGTTAGGGGCATGACATTGTAACACAAAGTAAGGATCATGATATTGTAACACAAAGTTAGGGGAATGACATGGTAACACAAAGTTAGGGGCATGACATTGAAATTCAAAGTAAGGGGAATGACATTGTAACACAAAGTTATGGACATGACATTGTAGCACAAAGTTAGGGGCATGACATTGTAACACACAGTTAGAGTCATGACATTGTAACACAAAGTTAGGGGAATGACATTGTAACACAAAGTTAGGGGCATGACATTGAAATTCAAAGTTAGGGGAATGACATTGTAACACAAAGTTATGGACATGACATTGTAACACAAAGTTAGGGTCATGACATTGTAACACAAAGTCAGGGACATGACATTGAAATTCAAAGTTATGGGCATGACATTGTAACACAAAGTAAGGATCATGATATTGTAACACAAAGTTAGGGGAATGACATTGTAACACAAAGTTAGGGGCATGACATTGAAATTCAAAGTTAGGGGAATGACAATGTAACACAAAGTTATGGACATGACATTGTAACACAAAGTTAGGGACATGACATTGTAACACACAGTTAGGGTCATGACATTGTAACACAAAGTTAGGGGAATGACATTGTAACACAAAGTTAGGGGCATGACATTGTAACATAAAGTTAGGGGAGTGACATTGTAACACAAAGTTAGGGGAGTGACATTGTGACACATAGTTAGGGGAATGACATTGTAACACAAAGTAAGGGGAATGACATTGCAAGGAGAGTGTATTAAGATATTGGCATGTCATAGATATTAGATATGATTTAGTGACATGGTATTCTAACATGGCATTGTAGTGGTTTAGGATATAGCACTTTATAGTTTGCAGCAATGCATAACAACCAGTCGAGTTGATCCAGCTCCAAAGTAAATATTAGTATATCGGATAGTAGTAGCCCTAATACATTAGAAATTGGTGTAATCTATAATGTCAGTATAACAGATAGCAACAACCCCCAATTCATTACAGATTGATGTAATCGATAATGTCAGTAATACGGATAGCAACAACCCCAATACATTACAGATTGATGTAATCGATAATGTCAGTATAACGGATAGCAACAACCACAATACATTACAGATTGATGTAATCGATAATGTCAGTAATACGGATAGTAACAACCCCAATACATTACAGATTGATGTAATCGATAATGTCAGTATAACGGATAGCAACAACCACAATACATTACAGATTGATGTAATCTATAATGTCAGTATAACAGATAGCAACAACCCCAATACATTACAGATTGATGTAAGTCAGTAAAACGGATAGTAACAACCCCAATACATTACAGATGGATGTAATCTATAATGTCAGTATAACAGATAGCAACAACCTCCAATACATTACAGATTGATGTAATCTATAAGGTCAGTATAACGGATAGCAACAACCCCTAATACATTACAGATTGATGTAATCTATAATGTCAGTATAACGGATAGCAACAACCACAATACATTACAGATTGATGTAATATATAATGCCAATATAACAGACATAAACAAGCCCCAATACATTACAGATTATTATTTTTATCTTTCCAGATCAAGTAATCAAGCAGAAGTTTGGTGCAAACGACGAAGGTTTTGCATATGGCTGGACAAAGGAAACAAAGCTGAGTCAGAAACAGCATGGCTATTACCCACAGGCATTGGTCAAACTGATGGTCCCACAGCCGGGGCGGTCGAACAAACGGTCTGAGAAGGGGAGCTAAGGTCAAACTATATACTTATATGGAGTGACTGGAACACCACAACATCTGCATTTAGTCTTTTTATCGATCTTGTAATGATTAACCATCAAAATGTGTATTAAAGATTGTAATAAAACGTGAAACTATATTCGTCATTTAATGATATTTTACATATCAGTTTAAGCTTATACATAATTAAATATTCTATTGAATTTTCAGAGTTTTTCATTTCAACACATATTCAATATATTTTTATTTAAATACGACTAAATCTTTGAGCGGTTTTTTTTCGTTACTTAAACAAAAATCCAATAAAATGACAAAGTAGAAGCCAGGGAGTTCTCGGTGACAGAACCTGTAAACAGCTATCTCCTCAATATAACTTCATGTACATCATTGGACACCTTAACATGTAACCGGCAACCACTCCAAATTATAAAGCGGATATGAACGCGCGTTATCTAAAACAAAAATTAGGTGAAGGTCATAACCCATCCTTACAATAATTAATAATATAGATTAAGATCAAATAACTAACCCCCCCCCCGTAGATATGTATAGTAAGTCTCTCATTACTACACGTCCCGTACATCAGTCAGTATAGTTACAATCTCATTACTACACGTCTCGTACATATAACAGTATATACATGTAGAAATACTCTAATTACTACACACCCAGTAAATATAACAGTATAGACACACTCTAATGACTACACATCACGTACATATAACAGTAAAGAAACACTAATTACTACACGTCCCGTGCATATAACAGTATAGACACACTCTAATTACTACACATCCCGTACATATAACGGTATAAATACACTCTAATTACTACACATCCAGTAAATATAACAGTATAGATACACTCCAATTACTGCACGTCCCGTACATTTAACGGTATAGACACACTCTAATTACTACACATCCCGTACATTTAACGGTATAGACACACTCTAATTACTACACGTCCCGTACATATAACAGTATAGATACACTCCAATTACTACACATCCCGTACATATAACAGTATAGATACACTCCAATTACTGCACGTCCCGTACATTTAACGGTATAGACACACTCTAATTACTACACGTCCCGTACATTTAACAGTATAGATAAACTCTAATTACTACACATCCCGTACATATAACAGTATAGATACACTCCAATTACTGCACGTCCCGTACATTTAACGGTATAGACACACTCTAATTACTACACGTCCCGTACATTTAACAGTATAGATAAACTCTAATTACTACACATCCCGTACATATAACAGTATAGATACACTCCAATTACTGCACGTCCCGTACATTTAACGGTATAGACACACTCTAATTACTACACATCCCGTACATTTAACGGTATAGACACACTCTAATTACTACACGTCCCGTACATTTAACAGTATAGATACACTCCAATTACTACACATCCCGTACATATAACAGTATAGATACACTCCAATTACTGCACGTCCCGTACATTTAACGGTATAGACACACTCTAATTACTACACGTCCCGTACATTTAACAGTATAGATAAACTCTAATTACTACACATCCCGTACATATAACAGTATAGATACACTCCAATTACTGCACGTCCCGTACATTTAACGGTATAGACACACTCTAATTACTACACGTCCCGTACATTTAACAGTATAGATAAACTCTAATTACTACACATCCCGTACATATGAAAGTTCTGAGTATAGAGTGTTATTATTACTACACGTCCCTTACATACATTTCTATAACTGTACAGATACACTCTAATTACTGCACATTCCGTACATATAACAGTATAGATACACTCTAATTACTACGCCTTCCGTACATATAAAAGTACAGATACACTCTAATTACTGCACGTCCCGTACATTTAACGGTATAGACACACTCTAATTACTACACGTCCCGTACATATAACAGTATAGATACACTCCAATTACTGCACGTCCCGTACTTTTAACAGTATAGACACACTCTAATTACTACACGTCCCGTACATATAACAGTATAGATACATGTACACTCCAATTACTACACGTCCCGTACATATTACGGTATAGACACACTCTAATCACTAAAGGTCCCGTACATATGACAGTATAGATACACTCTAATTACTACACGTCCTGTACATATGACAGTATATGTACACTCTAATTACTACACGTCCCGTACATATAACAGTATAGATTCACTCCAATTACTACACGTCCCGTACATATAACAGTATAGATACACTCCAATTACTACACGTCCCGTACATTTAACGGTATAGACACACTCTAATTACTACACGTCCCGTACATATAACAGTATAGATACACTCCAATTACTGCACGTCCCGTACATTTAACGGTATAGACACACTCTAATTACTACACGTCCCGTACATTTAACAGTATAGATACACTCCAATTACTGCACGTCCCGTACATTTAACGGTATAGACACACTCTAATTACTACACATCCCGTACATTTAACGGTATAGACACACTCTAATTACTACACGTCCCGTACATTTAACAGTATAGATACACTCCAATTACTACACATCCCGTACATATAACAGTATAGATACACTCCAATTACTGCACGTCCCGTACATTTAACGGTATAGACACACTCTAATTACTACACGTCCCGTACATTTAACAGTATAGATACACTCTAATTACTACACATCCCGTACATATAACAGTATAGATACACTCCAATTACTGCACGTCCCGTACATATAACAGTATAGATACACTCTAATTACTACACGTCCCGTACATTTAACAGTATAGATAAACTCTAATTACTACACATCCCGTACATATAACAGTATAGATACATGTACACTCCAATTAATACACGTCCCGTACATATTACGGTATAGACACACTCTAATCACTAAAGGTCCCGTACATATGACAGTGTAGATACACTCTAATTACTACACGTCCTGTACATATGACAGTATATGTCCACTCTAATTCCTACACGTCCCGTACATATAACAGTATAGATACACTCCAATTACTACACGTCCTGTGCATATAACAATATAGACACACTCTAATTATTACACGTCCTGTACATATAACAGTATAGACACACTCTAATTACTACACATCCAGTAAATATTTAAGCATTGAACTGCTTTTGTATGGTATTTATGATCTATTTGAATGACACAGCTTTGCAAGCAAACAACATAATGCGCGCTATCATAATTTGAGATGTTGTTGTAAGTCTGAATAACTAAGCTTCTAGTCCTGAAAGCTTTCCTTAGTCCGATATGGACACCAGGTCTTATTGTTACAGAAAACCCATCTGTTAATAATCTCTTATTGTTGTATTTCACATCACCATACAAGAATTTCATCTAGATAGTACAGTAGACTTATGTCGCGAGTCTGTAAATTACCGATATACGTGTGTTTAAATATCAGTTGATCACTGTGTATATTGAACCCACGTGTACGAGCAGACGACAAGTTTACCGCCAAGCATTTCTTGAGCACAAGGTTTCATCTGGCTATTGTTGTACCGTTCATGATGTCGTTACTACTGTGAGTTTTTGACAATGGAGCAATACATTCTAGAGGAGTAGTTTTTTCTCTTTTTCTGCAATACGTATGCTGTATAAGCAGATATTGCCAGACGATAATCATATCGCTACACATCCATTTCAATAAATGTTATGGTCTTAATTTTTCATTGGAATAACCCAAGCACTAACAACAAAAGACATCAGCAAGTTATACAAGTTTATTTGCGGAAAGTAAATAATTTGCACTATTTATTGGGGTTTTGCTTGCGAATGAAATTGGAAGGTTCCCATCGATACTGTCTGTGTGCTGCAGTATCTTCTGACGATTGCCATATGTACAGTATCGCTTGGAACCGTTGTAGTAGTTTTGAACAGCAAATATCCAACTTTATTCAGATAGTCAGGAATTTCATGCTGCAATGAGTAAAAATTATATATACAAACTGCTTGTTCTAGTGGACCGATACATGATTGGCTATTTATGATAAGCCATCCTCGATACTGAAGGAGTTATACTCACCTTCGCTTACTGCACCCTGTGAATATGTAATAGTAAAAATTGAAGGCTCAGTGTGCACCACCTTGTTAATGAGACGAAAAGACTAGTTTGATATTTTGGTGTACATCAACAGAATCTCGCGGTCGCGTAACGGTAAAATTTGTCCAGTTTTGAAGTCAGGTGTCGATCCTTTATAATCTTCAAAGGACAGGTATCAGGCTAGCGATTGGTCAGTTTGTTTTACCTGAGACCAATTAAATAACCATCTTTCCGCCTTTAATTTTGCTATGGCCTATTCCAGGGGTGCAGTGAGCAAATGTGATCGTAACCTCTGGAGTAACGAGGATGGCCTAGCATAGCCAATCATTAATTACTTGATTTAAGTACAAAACCACATGACATAGCGTTGGCAAAACGTATGAAAGACAGACATTTATTTTATCCGCGATTCAATGTGTTACCTATTAACAATATAAAGTATAAGCTGAGTCGGAACAGACGCAGATAAATTAACTGTTTGATATAATTTATTTGTAGATATGACACATATTTCTCCTCTCGTTTGTACGATAGTTTAGATATATTAGGATAGCCAATTATTTCGCCCCTAGCATCACTGATGATTTTATAGAAGGACGAAGTACGGCTGTATGATGCTGTACAATTAATTTCTGGCATTCTACAGCTATTTAAAAAATCACAGTTGTCACAATCACACCTTTATGAAATCACACATGAAATATATCAAAATGGGCGAAAAGAAACGCGATCATTATCTTCAGATTATTCATATACACATCTGAATGGAATGGCTCGCCAACGAGTCTAACAATGTCCAAACTCAGCACATGTTCTTTGCACCAAATTTATGTGTCATTAGCATATCAAAATCGTAAGCCTGAATACGCTACGCAGAATAGCAAGACAAGGGCAGATAACTCCTACGAGCTTACAACACCTCATTTGAAACTCAACACCTAAAGCTATTCATTAGACTGAACATAGTGACACAGCCTTCTCACAAAACTTTAGTAGGACATGAAATGTCGTCATCCTCTCTTTCACTTCCAATTTTAC